GTCGTAATCTATCACTTAATATCAAATTCCAAGATCAGGGGAAAATCTTATATATTATATCGGTCAGCCTTTACCATACTTTTGAGACGCGAAGAAAATTTGACAACGATAAAAAAGGACGCTGAAAACAGGTTTGACAATAAACAAATTAAACTAAAATAATACGATAATTAAATAAATTAATAGATAGTAATTAAAAATTAACAGATATAATAATTAAATCGCTCGATTAATGGGTTGAGTCGTTTAAATCATGGATCGATTACGTTCCAATGGTACGGGATAATTCCGAAAATGCTCTTTGAGAGGCATCTTGTGCATAAAAAAAACGACGTCTCCGATACCGATGTGGCGCGGTGAAAAACATGAGAGAGAGAGAGAGAGAGAGAGAGAGAGAGAGAGAGAGACGTCGGGACGGACGAAGAAAAGTAGCTCTTGCCCCTTTCAGCCAAAAAGAGGAATTGCGGTTAACTGTACGGAATCGGTACGGTGTCGTGGAAAAGAGGGTTGTTATAAGCGGCCTTACACCACGCCCGGCTTGGCCCGCGAACTGGGGCGGTGTCACTGTCACGGAATCGATATCTGTTCGCTTCTACTGAATTTTATCCTCGCGATTGAGACAAGAAAAGCGGCTAACTCTTTTTTCAGCGCTTCCTCTCGTTATTTCTCACCCTGTTTCGTTCGTCGCTGGCACATGTAGAATCCGTTTGAGAAACAACGAGATTCGTTGGTCTAACGCGTCCACTTATCAGGTTAGGTTCACGCATCGACGCGCTAACAAGAGGAGGTCGCCCTGCGGGTTTCAGCAATAGCCAAATAATAAAGACGTATCTTCTCGGATGCAGTAGTTAAAATTGAAGAAATGAAAGTACGTTGAGCGTAAGTCATATTTTGATTTCATTTGGAAAGTCAGATATTATAGAATCTGGATGAGAAACGTAATGATGCCAAGCCTTCGATAATAATCTCCTTTCGTGACTCTAATATTAAAAAATAAAATCTAGTCGATAAATTGAATCGAAAGAAACGACTATTATCTTAACACAACATTGGTGAAAATTAAGATTTATTAACAGAGACGTTTGTCTTTGTGCATTGAGAATATCAACGTAACTGTCATAACTGATCTTTTTAATTAAAAATTAAATAGCAGCAGTTCATTCTTCCTACTTGGAAGACTTGAAATTCCAATGAAACACGCTCCAGCGACGATAAAAGTATCTACAAGAATGCCCGAAGGAGAAACATACTTTGAACAAAACGGAAAAAAGAATTTTTACAAAAATATCGTCAATGTTTAAATCTAGACTATTCAAGATTATTTGCTCTTCAGACGTGTTGCATTACACTCGCGATCGTCGATAAATATCAATAAATTCCGCGTCGACGTTCATCTTCGACAGAGTACCACTCGTTCCGTTTGGATATCAACTTAAGAACTCGTTCCGTTTGGATATCAACTTAAGAACTCGTTCCACTAGCTCGGGACGAAAAATATGCACCATCTTCCACTTCGTTTCTCGTCCACGGGTATCAGTCGCTTTACGAGGCTCGGACGTGGTATTCCCGACCACGTACAGTGCTATTCCACTCACTCATCTACTTACCGGGCTATTTTACTTCAGTGACGTAGGGACAAGGTACAAGCCGCGTTCACGTCACGTCTGGCTATGTACCGACTCGTTCTACTTTATCCGTTCTACGCGCACCGCTTGGAAATCAACGAGGCGAGTTTATCCTTCGTTCGTATCATTTCCTCGTCAAATAGAACGACGACTCGAGTTCACGGGACACGCGTAGCCGCCGCTTGGAACAAAACTTTCTCTAACGGCGCGTTTAGAGGAGACGAACATACGTCAACGTTTCGAGTTTAGATTATCAATTGATGACGAACGCTTGAATTTGGTCAAAGTGGAAAACGAGCTGCAGCCTTTGAATTGGCATCGCTTTCGATTTCCAATATTTAAAATGCATTTCTGTAGCTCGTCTGGGTCTTCTTAGCGTTGCAAAGAATAATTTTCTAATTTCCTTCAGATTCACAAAGCCCGAGATGTGAGTTTCGAGTCTGATCTTAATTATCAGTGCTCAAAGAGTTCATCAAGCTTGCTCAATTCACGTTATGCGACAGAGAAAGTTATGTAGTTATTCGGAAAATGTATCGACGATCTGGAAAACTTCGAAAAGAAACAATCGTTGAGGAGACACCGCCTGTAAAATATTGACCTCTTAATAGTATTCGAATTGCATCTTCACGATTGAAAAAGATATTCAGGCACAAATAATGTAATGATAGTTTGTCTTTTTCCTTCTTTTTTGCAGTGTGTATCCTCTCCGGTACATTGTACTGTTCCTGTTTCCAGCTATACTGCTCCAATTTCATTTTTCACGCATCAATCATAATCTGCTATTTATACACTGCTTTGTTACGTCGCTTTATAATTCACAAAACATGAGTTTCGAGTTGTCACTATGTGAATGTTGCAGACACACTCCACGATCAGTTATGAAAATGTTGTTCATTTATCTTCATAATTTGACAGATAGAGAGAAATTACGTCGCTTTTTCTGAGCCACGTGCCATTGTGTTTTTTCTGTCTTGACTGTCATTATGAATAAGTGCACGTTGATAAAATAAACGCTGGATCCTGTCCTTTCCTCGATTAACAAAATAATTTTCCAATTCTGCTCGTGAAAAGCATTTCTTCGAGTTGTATCATTTTCCTTGCAAGTATATGCTTCTCCTTTTCAATCTTTCACAATATAAAGTTAGTAAAAACCAAAATGGAGAATGTTTTCTCAATTTTGAATCGAATCATTCACGATCTGTCTTAATAACATTACTCTCACGATAATTACTAGAAATAACAGTAACATACATATTTTGCATATGCACTGCAATAATTAATAAAACAACAAATACCGTGATAAACAAATAACCAACTGATGTTGTAATAAATTAAACAAAAACTCGATCAAACTCTCCCAGAAACATGTACAACGTTGAAAATTTCGAGTTCCAATTTGCAAGGGTGCGCGAGATCAGCATAATGAACGATGCAAATATCAGCAGCACGAATTTGGTCGACGCAGAAGGCAAAAGAACGAGCATTTGTTCGTTTTTGTTTAAAGCGCAACCAATGAACGCTCCCAAGTATCGATCGTCCCGACGGCGAGATCTCGGGAACGAAACTCCTGGCGACGAAAACCGAGGGCCACGCGCGTCCATCGGACGATAGAGCGTGATTCGTCACGCGGCGGAAGTATCGTTCGTCCTCGAGGGAGAGGCTGCGGCCGGGTGACGTCGCCGAATAAATCCAAAATCAATTTCTCCGGGTTCACGAGCGCCGGGGCTTTGACCGTTGTTCATCGATGGAAAGCGGCGCGTCCCGTCGCTGGCCGGGGCAACAAGCAACAATTTTTCATCTCTTATCGTCACCGTGGACGCCCTATCGCCGGAAACCCTGGTAACAATCGATGCGTGCGCGCAGAGGACCGAGCCGAAAAGAAAAGAGCGCGACAGAAAAATGAAAAAAAAGAAAAAGAAAAAAGGAAAAAAAAAATGGTTCGAGAGAATCCAATTTCGCTAAGTCCCTCGCTTTTGCGGTTTCGTGGCAAGTTACTAACAAACGTTTCTATTTGTTATCGTCGGTGTTCGGCGATTGTGCAAACCGCGCGACAACCGGCTAAAGCCGACTTACTCTCGCACCGGCTGTCTGTTTGCAGTTGCAATTGTATGCGAAACAGTTTTCACGATTTCGTGTAATGTTCGACCCGGCGAGGTACGTAATCCTATTATAGCGGTGACCGACGATGTAACAACATTACAAAGAATCGTTATCGTCGATTCGATATCGGTGAGCTGAACGCGAGCGGATGCTAACGGTGGCTCTCGTTCGTTCGGTGCTCGCTTATTTCATCGATTCGATTCTATCTAAAGTTCTCCCTCTAACGACGGCCATGCTCGTCCAATTACCGAAAATATAGCCGCGTACGTTTCGGATATTTCTATTGTTGAAATCGGCTCGTGAAGATATTCTTCGCGCGTGATCGAGTTATCTTCGACTTCTTGACAATTTTTATCTCGTAGTGTGTTGGTATTATTTCGTCGACGATGTTTACAGTACGTTAATACATTAAATGAATTATCATTTAAGTTCTGATGCGCGAAGATGTTGCGAGCTACACAGATTTGTATGTACATACAGGGAAAAGTCACAATTGAAGATATTTCTTTTATGTTGACACTTTATTTCGAATGAGTAAGTAGATGTCATAATTCTACGCAACATATTTTGAAACTACATTTATTTATTCAATTATTGTCCAAGTTCTAAGGTATTAAATGTAATACGTTGAATATTCATTTTTTTTAAATTGATTTTAAATCAGTTTCGCAATACTTTCTTTGGATCTGGTTTGTGATCTGATTCACGTTTCCACGTGTTTGTTCTGTAGTAACGATCATTCAGTATCGACTAACATATTGTGAGAACAGAAATTTTTTAATTTGTAAATTCAATCAAAATTGGCAACAGGTAACGGGTTCATTCAATTTTTATTATTTTCTGCAGAAATATATCTGAAAAATATTTTGAAACTGAAGGATAACGTGAATAGAAAACGTGATCTTGCGAAAATATTTGAATTTTTATCATAGAATGACAGAGACAAGGATTTCGAAATTTTATTAAAACTTTAACAGAAGACATCTATTATTATTATTATTATATTGCTAAAATTTGAAACCAGCCAACAAATACAGAAGTTACAGAATATTTATTATACATTCAGTTAAAACCTAATAGGTACATAGTATGAATAGCCATTTTAAGAATATAACAAATGTTAAACTGAATATCGAAGCTCACTGATATAGTAGAATATATTATGTCTGTTTAAATAATTTTCTAATTTTCTTTACAAAATATATATTTATATCGAATATCATGTAACTTCTATATAAATATAAATGTATCTTTCACTATTCTGCACGCAAATTTTCCTAAACTTCAAATAACCAATTAACAAAATAATCAGTTACAAAATGTTACAAACAATATTTTATTGTCAAGAAAGAACACTAATATATAAAAAAAATACTAATGTACACCATATCGAGAAGTACATCGTGATTGTACTTTTCTCCCTAACAAAAAATATCTTGAAATAGAAAACTCACGCGATACGATGTTAATATCGAGGGAAACAACATTTCCTTCGCGAGTCGAACGGAGTTCTTAGGTATTCCGAAAATATTTCTTTAGAGTTGACGTACTATTTCATGTTATACCTGGTCCAGTCGTCGAAAGATTCACCCGTATCGGCATATTCTGGCGGAAGTTGAGGCCGTCGCGCGTCGTATTTCCCGAGGGCCATGTCGATCAGGGAGAAGCTACATCCGGCGAACATGGTGGCGCAATCATGGCCCTCATGGCCTGCTTTGTGAGCTCTGCTGTACGCATGATGCTCCTGTGGCTCATGACTGAACAGTCGCTTCAAAGGGAAGCTGCAACAATCAAAAGGAACGGAATGAAAGGTTGTAACCTATCTCTGCAACTTCGAGAAGCCCTCCCCAGGCTGCGTATGGCAATGAATTAAGGAAAATCGAAGAGGATCCGACGGAGTCGTGTAAATTATCGTGAGTCGTGGAGCAGAAAATCATAACCGATGTTGCCTGCGTTGCAAATTTTCAATGTTTCACCATCATCTATATATGATAGATATTTACATTCATTATAATATTAGACTATGAACAATTTAACTGTGTATTTTATATATTTTATATTAGTGTTATATACGTATCTGCAACGATATAAAATTCAATATAAACATTAAATATTAAATTCTATTAGAAAGTAATTTGATATATTTTCATATCGAATTGAATAATCTATACCTGAGAGTAGGTTACATGCAATAGAAATTTAGTCTATTTATTATATTATTAATTTCTTTACTATATTGATTTTTTCAACATTATGTCAATTTGGACATCAAGGGACAAATTATCGTAATAGTTTGTCTCTCAGTGCACTGTCAATGAAATTTCAAAATATATTACGCATTGCAATATACGGATAAAAATTTCCCTACGCTAAGTGTTTCAATACGTTCATGATCCAGTTTAAATAAAAAATAAACAAACCGTGGGAAAACGATCATGGTGTTTATGGAATTCAACGCTAATTCCGTACGCGAATAACGATGGAGGTCCAAAGAAATGGCGCGGCTTAGGATATACCGGAGGATGAAACGCGTGAAATATCTGCGGAGAGTACCCTTTTAACCTTATTTGCTTAATAAAATTCGTCTCCGACTGGCTCTGCTCTCCCCCTCTTTCTCCGACCGAAACGAGATTATTCCGAAATCCCATCGATCCCCGACTAAAGCCCATCGCCTCCCCCTTTCCATATCCGAGTAGAAAGAAAGAAAGAAAGAAAGAAAGAAAGACATCGGAAATGGAGAGTTAGGGGAGCCTTGGAATCCGCACGCCGCTGGAACCCCTTTTCATTTTTATTCTCTTTCCCTTTGCCCCCGGTGAACCTTACGAGAATGATATCCTCATCATCTCCTCGATGAGAGTTCTTCCTTTGGGCATCAGCCGCTGGGAGGCCTCGCACAGCGCTCGAAGCACGCACGTTCTTCCATCGAAGTTCATCCTGAAAGAATCGAGAGATTAGAATGGGGAAATAAGTCGAACCGGCGGCGAATTATTCTTAATAATTATATTGTAAAGCTAAGGTGGACATTTGAATAACGTTAAGATTTAACAGAGTATTCGCTTCTGATTAAAGAAATTGTTAGTGAAATTGGAACCAGATTTGTTTAGGGTACTTTAAGGGGATATTTTGAAGTCTCACATTCTGTCGGTACACAAGAGATAGTCAATTTAATTTTGTATAAGTTTAGTTTTATGAGAAATTGCATTTACTAAATTTTAACATTCGAGAACAACTGATAGTTGTTCAACAATAAAACAAATACGAAGGCATATAAAATAAAATTTTTAAGATACATGGACTTGTAACTTGATAACTGTGTATTATATAAAATATTCGGTATAAAATTTTTGTTAAGTCGATTGCTTATTGCCGAAATCGAACAACGAATCGCAATTGTGACAAAGATTTTTTAACAAACGAGCTATTATTACTTTCTAGCATTATTTTATTGTTTTTCAATATCTTATTTAGTAACGAAGAATATACAATGAAATAATAATAATTTACAGATAAAAGGAATGCCTGCTCAAGTTCTATTTTTTGAACTGTACTCATAAAAATATAATTATAGATATACATAAAGAAATTACAATTAAATATAAAATATAATTAGAAAATTATCTTGTATCTCTCGTACTCAAGAATCCATCGTTTAATTAAATAAATTCTTAATCCTTAAGATTAAGATAAGAGCTATTTTAGAAAAGAAAGAACCTCGCGCTGCATCGAAATTATATACGAAAGTATAATAATAACATAAAAAGCGAAAATTCGATCAATCTTACAAAAGATGAACACACGATTAACGGATCTGAGAAATGAAAACTGGAGGGAATAATGAAAAATGAAGATTGCCTTCATATTGTTCTCACTCAGCTGAGGAAGAAAGCGAAAGGAAAATGTTGCTGAAAGAATTGCTAGGTAACGCAATTTTGAGATTGTTCAAAGGGAAAGAAAAGAAAGAGGATGGAGGGTGGTAGAACGCGTATTAATGTATCCTTTCGGCGATGAACAAGTGTCTGGTTGCGCGCGAGGACCGGCGAAAGAGGAGGTGGGGGTGGCACGGTGTTTTCTCATCTGGTCCGACCCTCCTTCCAGAAAGATTAAAGTCTCCTTTGAAGCAGCGTTTCAAAAATTCGTTCTACGCCCTCCAATAATTTCACCCTTGATTTGAGTGGCCGCGAAGCTGCGATCGATCTTGGAAAATTATCGTACACCGTGAAGTATGAAAGCTCTTGCAACCTATGGTCCACGTCGATATGTATCAGAAAATAATAAATTACTTTTTAAGGCGTAGAATGTTCGCGTTGTTCGCTGTGATCGAAGAGGACGATTGATGACAACGACATTCACGAAAATGCGAAAATTTCTTAGATCATCTTCTGGTATCATATATAATAAAATATTGGAAAAGTAATGATTATTCAAGTAATGTGTTATTCCTCATCTATCATTATTTCTATAGTTTCTCTATCTTTCTTTATTATTTTTTAACACTAGAATCCTCAAAGTGGCCACAATGACCAATTTATAATTTTTGTTAGAAATTTTATGACGGTGATATTTTATGTTTGAGAAAGCTTGTGTAATGTATTACACCATAAAGCTTTCCCATTTTTTTATTTTCATGTCTCTCGTGGAAATTTTTATGCCTTAATCGCTAATTCTAGTGTTAAATAATTATCAAATATAATCAAACTGTTTCGTTATTTGATTGTCAAATAATATAATTTCTTATTTTATTTGATATCATAGAAATTGAAGAATGAGTTACGATAATTCATTTGAATTAATTGCCACTTGAAATAATCTCTCATTCTCTGATTCTATTATGTCAATTGCCATCAGGAATATATAGAATTTTTAATACGTTAGTATCTCTCGTACACAAACTCACAGACATGAAGTCAGAGGTAATTAAAATTAAAGCAATTACTCCCAGAGTAAATGCTGTTCCGTCAGTTACGATTCTGATGCACGCAAAATACAATATCTAAAATTCGAATTAATTTTAAGATTCAAATTACTTGTTATTCTATTCGGCAGAGTTGACTAAAATAAACAAATTCTGCAGTTATACGATGTAAAATATAATTTCCTTAACTTTTGTTTCTATTCGAGTAATCTCAGTTGGAAGGAAGAGAATGTAGAAACATAAATAAATTATCAACAACACCAAAGAAATAATTACACGTGCACGACAACGAGGAAAATATCATTATTGATCAATTCTGTCACAAAATCCTCCTGGAATGAAGTTTCGCTTCGAGGAAACAAGAGCAGACGAAAACAAACGGAATCTCGATTAATTCAAATTAGTCAACGATTCTTTTAGAAAGTTTGCCGCTAATTTCTTAGAATATGACCACAGACACTCCCCCATTAATTCACAGAAACAAATCGCTTTCGTTTAGTAATAGAAGCGAAAACTCTCTGGCAGTGTAGCAGCATTACAAGAAAACGCCTCACTTGCGAAATATTCTTCGACATTAGCCGGGACTTTTATTGAAATACGTAATATTTATTGGACAGCACTGGCAGAGGGTGGAAGAAGAGAACGTCGCAGAGGGAATGCACAGCCGCGTGAAATAAAGTTGTATCCTGTGATCACCAATTCGGGTAAATGCTTGCCATTAATTCAGAGAGATTTCTTCTTGAGAGGGGTGGAACAGAATCTGGCAGAGAAGGGGATTACTACTACGATGCTTGGTAAACTCGCGCAGACCGGACCGATCTCCTTGCACGTTCAAATTGTTTTATCTGCCACGGTTATGGCGTTCCTCGACTCTCGATTCGTTGTATTTGCCAATTACTCTCGTTTATTGAAATCTCCTTGCAAATTACGTTCGAAAACGCACGTCCACTTGATCCATCGATCAAACCGCGATTAACTAGATACTCAACATCTACCGATCAATTCGATACGATTATCATCACATAATACATCAAAGGTGATTCAGTGGGACGTTCCAACAGAGACACTCCAAGTACCTGATTAATGCACAAACGCAATCACGCACCCTAATTTCCATAATCCCTGTCCGAGTATTACACAACTCTATCCGTCCGTGAAAACATATCTAATTTTCGATTCGCCTGACTTTGTCTCTGTAGTCACGGGCGAATTTGCCTTGATGGTAATGACGCTGACAAGCGTGGAAGCGTTCAAGAGTGCTTGTCAAGAAAATTTGATTCAACGATCGTTGGAATTACGTAAGATGTACTGTTGCCACGCAAAGAAGACTGGGATAAAAATTGTAGCCTGACTGAAACGACGCTTGTCGAATCGACATATTTATTTGACAATATCGATCACCACTTGCAAAACTTTCTCCAGAGTGTCAGTAACGAGAAATAAGTATACTACAATCGAGGAACGATTAAATTCTTTAATAACGAAACGATAAAACATTTATACTGTTACAATCCATAGTTTTCCATCATATCGCAGCTATGTTTTACAAAATTTTGTCACGAAATGAAACGGAGCCCCGACGACTATTAGCCTCAGGCTGGCGCAGTGGTTAGATCCGCTACTGTTCATAGTTAAAACGATGGAAATTAAAAGCTTTCTGGCAATTTTCTCGCTGAAGATAAATGCATCACCGCCGAGGTGAAAGCATGGAGCACGTGAACAAATAGGAAGCCATTTTCTTGCACCCAAAAATTGATTCTACATGCCGGGTAAAGGTAGCTAGCGTTACGCAGTGCCACGATGGTTTTCAAGGAGACGGTTCACGATGGTGCTGGAGCTATTTAAGGGTGAGCATGAATCAGAAAAGTATGATTCGTCCGATTTATTCGCTGCTATTAAATTGTTGCATGTGAAATATCCAATTAAACAAGTGTGTAACGTTATTTTTAATGGCTATTGTTGAATAATATTGCTCAAAACTAATCAAATATAATATAATTGATATTTCTTTCTAGTAGAACATTATATTGTGGATCTATGTTGAGTTCGAAAATTCTTTAAGAAACTTCAAACATTGTTTCAGATGCAGTAAAAGTGGATCGTAAACATTGTTTTCCAAGAAATGATTTCAATGACGATTAATTGAAAATTTTAATAATTGTATTATTTACAACATCGTTTTACAAATGGTCAAAACGTATCGAGTATGATGAATCTTAGTTTGATTAACACACGAACAGTAATTTAGTCATTACATCTATTTTGAAATTAGTTTCTGAATATCGTCTGATAATGATCAGAATATAATGACAAAAATATTTATTTGATAATTAATTTATACTCTATTGCGTTATTTTATTATTATAATAATATTTTGTTTTTAATATTTATAATGTAATATTACTTTCTTCTGTTTTTAATATCGTCACACGTGTAATATTCTTATTACAAACTACATTATTCTTTGGTGAGAGTATAATCCAAAATTTTCGGCTCTGACAGAACAAGATTTGAATTGGTAAAACCGGACACCAAAGTGGAAAATTTCGACCAACGGTGAAATACGGTAGTGGTTTAGGGACGTGTGTCGTACAATAACGTAGGAAATTGTGCATTTATTCATGGAATAATGAATGCTCAGGAATATATAGATGTGTTGCGAGATAATTCATTATGAACTGTAATTAAATTAGGTGTAATCGAAACATTTCGCTTCCAACGCGACAATAATCCCAACCACATGGCCAAAAGAACGGGAGAGTGGCTATATTACTATACTATCAGATATAAATCCAAGTGTACATTTGTTAAGTATAAAAATTGGAGAGGATGAAATAGAGTGTAAGAGAGAGCAAAAATTTTGTGATGTAATAAAGAGTACAATTTCATGGGAAATTATTCACAAAATCTCAGAAAATAAAGCGTTGTAAATCTGGAAAATTACAATTTGGTCATTTTGGTAGTTTTAAAATTGAACACTTCTTTTGTATGTACATATATAGTAAATGTAATTTCTAATTAAGTCACAAGTATGACACGAGGTTTCGACTACGAAATTTTCACTCCTCTTTGCACTACATTATCTGCATATTAAAAGACATAATCACTTTAATAAATTTTTAACATTTTTTATATTTTATAAATATATTCAAAAAGAAAGAGGATAGACTAATACTTTTTCAATTCACTGTAGTTTCTCTTCGTTTTTCTTCTTCTGTCTGGTATTTTTTAAATACTGGTACTTTATATCTATACTACAAATACTATAATATAAATAAGGAAGATGATTCGATTGTTTTTAGCGAAGATAAAATAAAAGATATGAAACGTGGCTCTCTCGCCTAAAGTCACGTGGAATTTTTCCGAACATGATTCTCACGAGGTTTATTTAGCCGTGATTTCAAGAAAAATCAGGAAAGAGAAGCGGAATCGATATTTTCCTCGGTGTCTCTCCCTCGGTTTTTCGACTCGGGGCTTAGACACTTTCATCCGCGACGATTCCCTTCTACACGTCGATACGTCGACGTTTTATACTAACGCGACCGAAATACATCATCGCAGATGATACGGAAAAAAACTGAGATGGCTCGACGGCTCTCCATAAAGGCCGGCGACGATCGTTCGATCACGTCCAGACTCTTAAAGCCGCCGTTACATTTTATTATAGAGGCTGCCACTCGGCCTGGCGCACTCTGCGAAAATTTATTCGTCCCTATGATTTTCAAATGGGGGAAGATCGACGCTCTTACGCCGACAAAATGGATACATTTCTCTGGAGGTTAGTGTCAAAGAAAGTCAACAATGCGTAATTTGGTTCAATCTTTCCTGCTGACGTGTATGTAACGCATGTATATACATACAATTATTATGTATATACATACAATGATTGCTACAATTAAAACGATTGAAATGTCAAGAGATTTTAAGAGAGACAGGTACAAAATAAATAATATTTACTTTGAAAAGTAATGTAAGAAATGTATCGATTTCCGTTTTTGTATAGATTTCAAAGAAATTATTAGATTACACAAATATAGATTATTAAACATATTAGATTATTAAAAATGACTAGATTATACAAATACTGACGAATAAATATGTAAGTCCAATGTTAAGGTAACTCTAAATTTTAAGGAAATTCTAAAGTTAGTAACAAATTAGACTTTTGTCTGTAGCTCCGATATTCTAATTACGCAACTTACGCGTTCATAATGGTCTCCAGTTTGCTGTAAAGTTCCCTCCGGTGTCTACGTTGCAAGTAGTAATAATCTGACTTGTGGTACTTCCTCTTCCCAGGCTTCATGTAATATTTATCGTTACCGTTCCATCCGGAATACTTCATCGCGTTCTTGTTGATCGCGTTGATCGTCGACTGATGGCCGTGTTTCTTCGCTGGTTTAACTTCGTCGCGTCTCAACTCTAAGAACGGCTCGAGAGCCGGTTTGCTTTCGTTCGGTAAATCGTACGAGATACCCCAGTTGATTCCTTCCGTGAAAATGTCATCGTCCGGCGTATATGTGTGGGTGGTGAGGCACAGCGCGACCTATATGTAATAACAGAGAGGTACAAATCAATGCGAACATTCCGCTACTTCCTCTCGTAAATTGCAATAATTTAAGCGATGAATGGATCGAATTCATTACGCGGCATTATTCATGCGATGCGTAATGAATTACGATTGCTGTAAATTTTAACATACAATTTATATAAGCATCCTAGCAGGACAGGCAACCGCGAATGTCGGAGGAACCGATCTAACTCATGTTTGATTCAGTGTTTTCTAGCGGATCTCGTATCTCTTGTATAAAACGTTAAAGACACGCATATATATATATACAGAGTGTCACATCAAAGATCGAATATCTAAATATTTCAAAGTAAAAAATGTTTCAAATACAGTTTGAATTATTACAGAGAAACAATATTCTTTTGATCTTTTTACAAGCTATTTTTTAATGTCGTCAGTATTTTTTGCTTTAGATAGCATGTATCTTATATAGCACGTGTTAGACATAGTCAAATGTGTTTGACACATGATCTTGAAATTCTGCAACAATGTTAGGATGTGAATTTATTTTTTGATGTCATAAATACTGAAAATAATGTCTGTCACATCGTCTGTGACATTTCCGAATGTTTGCCAAGAAAATCTCAAAAAATATCTTCATTTAAAAATTTTACCTATTAAAGTTAAATTTCATTCTTAAATAGTACAAGTTCTCTTGTAAATATGACGAAAATATTTCAAGCAATCAAGTTAGATGAAACACCCTGTATTGTATAGAAATATCACGAATGAATGTCACGATCGACATCGAAACCGCAATTATCGTCACCGTAGTTTTAGCAAATCAAATTTATCGAGTAAGAACTCACAGAGAAAGTTGAACCTTCTGGGAAGACGACGTATCGCCTTTTTCTTGACAAACGAGCGTCACGATCCGAATTGACTTGATAATTACTCAACAAGACGCAGATCATTAAAAGGAGGAAACAACGTTCAGTTCGGTTCATGTCTCGGGCAGCTCTGAAAAAAAATAAACGACGAAAAGTTATTATCTTGGCAAATTTCAACATAAAACATATATTATATATTTAAAATATTTATAAATTATACATATTTATTATATATATAATATATTATATTAATATATTGAATATATGTATTTAAACATTACTAATATTTAAAATAATATATAGTAAAATAAATATAAATATTTTATAAACATATCAATTAACATTATGATACTCGTTAAGTTATAATATACATAGATATTATACGATATTTAATGTAAACACATATTTCACGGAGATTACAAAAACTATTTAAACAATCTCAATCCATTGTATCAATTTTCAGTGAGATCGTCTTTAACATTTGTTACATGCTTGAGATTGTTGTTTCGTTATTAATTTTCGTTTTAATTAAAAACATTTTTGTATCGTATATTAATTTTTTACTAAACACATGTTTTATAATTTTAACAATATTACACATTTACCATATGTATGCACATAACTTCATTCGCACGTATAAATATACTGTTCATCAAAACAACAAAAGTTTATTAATCCTTTAACCACGGGCAATTTTCAAATTTTCCTGTACAAACTCGCGGGCAAAATTTATGTTCTGTATGTTCGTCACATATTTATCACACAAAGAGTTAATAAATAAAAATATCGTTCGTTCAGTTTCATTGGAATAACAATGCAAAACAGATCAAAATAAGTGGAGAAATATTTTTACTTATTAACTTACGACTTGCAACTTGGAAAATTCATTTGACAGAGAAACAATGTTCAGGTATTCGAAAAATTCAGTACGACGTGATGTGATAATAGGGTGACTCGCCGTGGTTGAAGGACGTTAAATTTAAAACGACTAGCCATCAACTACACATTATTTCTCTAGCTTTCAAAGTTCCTCATAAATAAAAATATAAAAATCTGAGATTGAAATGCATGCATAGGTATTTGTAACTTTATATTTCACATTTTTATTGTAACCTTTAATGATGCATTCATAGAGTTTCTATAATCTTATTTTTATCTATGAAACATTATGGCAAAGTTTAAACACTGAACGCTAAAATATCAAAGTTAGAAAGATATCTTGTGATCAGAAATGTAATGAACTAAGGTGGGTTTTACATTTAAGTGATCTTTTACAAATATATTGTTCTTATTATATCATTATTAGCAACTACAACGATATACGTTGTTGCATCTGAAAGGACAAAAATAAAAAATGAACTTAATCTGTGCTTATATTATATGTTAAGGCCAAGTGATAGCAACACTGTATTATAAACTTAACACTATATGAATTATACTTCATTACCATCATTTTTATAACTAAAGTTTTCTTTCGCGTAAAGAAGTTGCAATTTAATAAATTTTTGCTTTATACGATTGTTATTTTGTCTTAATATACAACTAAACAGATATACAAAATATCAAATCGATTATAAATTTTTATTATTTAACAGATATACAAAATATCAAATCGATTATAAATTTTTATTCAAAATAAATCACCTAAAATCTAATTTAATGATCGAAAAATAAAATATCTCAAGCAAACGAACCAAAGTATCAAAACCATCAGCGTCAAATCAACATACGTCACTTTTCGCCTCTCAACAAGCTCTGCACGTCCACGTAATGCTAAGTCGTTTATTGTTTCCCAGCAGCTGCATCAACGCGAAACACGAAACGACTCCATTTAATGTTTCATACTGCGTTCTAATTACAAACGACGAACGAGACGAATAACACCGGACTGTAACAAAGCAACCTCCCGCGTCAATCGTTTACGAAGAACGAAATAAACTGTCGGCGATTTAGCGAAACGAGATTCGAGTTTACGCCGGGAGTCGGAGCAAAGGCGCGTATGAATCCCATCTCGTTGGAGGACATCTCATTAATCCGAGCGACGATACAAGCGAATGACCGACAAACAGATTCCTTTTGCTGACCGGTCGAGCCAGCTTGCATGGGAAAACTTCTTCCCGTTATAAAGGAATTATCTAACTTTCCTCGTGCCATAAGCCGCGACCGCGTAGAGATCGTTCAACCACTTTGCCAGAAATAAAAGGAGCGCAACGTCTGCCCCCTTAATTTAATTTGCGTGTTTAATTTAACTTTATTTATCAACGTTTCGTAACGCAGCGTGGAGAAATTGTACACTCGGACGTGACGATGTAATTAAAGACGTGACGATGTAATTAAAGACGTAATTATTAGTATTATTTATATAGGTAGAGTTAATCCCTTGGTGCGAGGAGATATAAATGATAGAAAGCGATAATAATATTATACTACAAGTTAACGTACGATATGTCTACTATATTCTACATCACACGAAATTTATTGCCATTATTGTTCATATGCCATTTTTGCTATTTTGTGATCTTACGGTCTTACGTACTTTAATCATTAACATTAAGCAACTATTCGCACAAATTATATACTTCATCTTGAACATTATCGGTCAGACAATTTTTTATATGCGATATAATCAAGGATAATATTGTGATTTAATATTATATAATAGATTTTATAATTCGTGTTCTTCGACACCACGACACGTAATAATACTTTAAATACTTACTTTTTTAAATATTTTTAATTATTGTTATATCTTATTAGGATTAAATATATAAATGTTGTCACTACTATTATCATTATTATTATTGAACTTAATATACGCGTAATTTGAAAGATGTAAAATTAATTTATAAGATATTGGTATACGAAATTGAGAAGTCTGTAATCTATACGATTCGCGGCGTGGAAAAGATGAAACGCGAACGACCGAAATCGTAAATCCTATTCGCTTTGACAATCACGTTAGCTAGCGGTGAATGGAGACCGTCTCGTCTCGGTCGAGAATTGGTTTAGACAGACTCTCGAAACAATCTTAAACGACGAACGAGCTTAACTTCCACGAATCAATCGTCGAATCGACTGCCGAAGCTCAAGACTCGATTAACCCTGGCTGTTCGGGATCCGCGATTCGCTTTGATAGCATCTTCGATTATTTCCGCGATTTTTAAATTGACTGATCACTGTGCTATTTTAGCCCGGGGCTCTTGATTTAGCCTCTGTCGATATCGTTATCTGCTTTGTACGATTCTTTCTCTTGTGATATTTCCTCGTGAAATTGGATTTCTACTGCCTCTACCTCTCTTTGATCTCCTTTATTGGGTTAGCAGTAATTAGCTGGCCATGATCTTTGAGAATGAACTTTGATTCACGTCACTTTGTAGCTCTTTTCGTAAATCTTATGGCTCTCGTTATTAATCGTTTTATCGTTGTCACGTCGTATTGATTAAAATTTTGACATTTCAATCGATGCAGATTGACATTGTTTCAGAAAGAAGCACCTCCGGTACTTAGGGGCTTATAATGTTCACCGAGAAGAGTAAGAAATGACTAATCAACGTGGATCGCAAAATCAATTATTTTCATAAAAAATCTCATTATTTACTCAAAATATTAGTTCAAGATTGTTACTAATATCAACAAAAATTGTAAACGTAGTTCGTTCCGACTACTCACAGTAGATTTTCGAATAGTCTTTCTATTTATTATTAATAATGAAAGAACGATTTGAAGGAAAAACTAAAAAAAGGCATTTAATTATCGAAAAAGGCTTAACAACGAAATGAAATTTGAAACTTATTGAAAAATTTCAATAAGTCATTAAAAATACAAGTCAAAGTAAAAATTCGGTAGATTCCATGACACAGTTCGAAAATTAAAAGTTCGCAAAATAAAAGTATTCGGTATTAAAATGTATAAAAAAAACTTTTTTTCGTATTTCTCAATTGTTTCTAGAATACGCTAATTGTTTGATAAAACGAATGTACATTTTATCCTAATACAGCATTGTAAATGGCAAGATAGATTCAAGCTTAGAAAAGTAATGAAAGAGGATGAATACTCTTAGCTGATGCTGTTTTAAGCGTAACATTATAACAAATTAATTAATGTATGGAACGAGTTTGATAAGACGAATTCGCTAGATTAAGACGAGTCTTCGTAAGGAGTTTTAATTAATCTTCGTGTTGAAGATCCATAAATCACTTGAAATAGTCTAATATGATACTCCTATCAAAATTCGCCTCGAGGGGTATGAAGATATGGTAGAAGCTCGATAACTCGAAACTCTCCGTAACTCGAAAATCTTCAGATGAAACTCATCTTCATTCCCTTCCGTTTCCGGTGAAAACTTTTGTAACTCGAAAAATAAATTTCCGATAAATCGAATTATTTCTTTAATTCACGGCGCGTGAGCTTTATTTCTACTCTATTCCTTAATCTCAAAATAGTTCGTAACGATGAGAAACGAAAAGCTGAGAATCACAGTGGTGTAAAACTAAATTTTTTATAATTTGAGTTATATAATGAGTGTTGAAAGCTATATATGTTTGGTTTCATGATCAATTATTGAAAAATGGCAATACTCTGTTTCAGTTTTAACTGAAAAATACAAAATATAATTATATGAGAAAGATCATAAGAATGAGTTACATTAACATAACTCTCAGTCCTTCAAATACACTTATTGAAATATTCAAAAATATTAGTTACTAGCTTCCATTTTTTCATTTTTAATATAATTAGGTATTCTTTAAGCAAACTTCCTCTATCATAATGTAAACATCGATGTAAACTTTAATCGATATAAACGTCGATATATAAAGTTAAGTAATAAGAAACACTATATCCAATACCAGGGGAAAAAATATTTTTCTAAAAAAAAAAACAATTCATTGCGTATAAGAAAAACTCAAAGTAATTGAAAAATATAAATATTAATAAATACCAAAGCGTTAAAATACGACCCAGATGTATTTTGATCTCGATATAAATGTAACACTCTTCAATCAATTTCACACGGAACGCAGTGATCGATCAATTCTTTTTCACCCTCTTCGCTTTCACTGTTGTGACAATCTCGTCATACTTTAATTACAATATAAAAAAAATATACCTAACGCCCGGTATTGAAGGAAC